AATAAATCGAAGTCTATTACGTAATTTGTTAGTTGGATTGAGTCTGTAGAGGAGGTGAATTGACTGTCTGAACAAGTGGTATGTTTGAAAAAACAGTAAGAAATGGCACGTGGCAAATAGATTGCAACATGCTCCTTTACTATCTGTAAGACTAGAAACTTCTTTATCTTCTCTTGGTGTGATAGGCAATGGCTTAACAAAATAAGTAGGACAATGCAGTCAGGATTTGGGCAAAGCTTGAGTTTTGCTATGTGAATATAAAGCTTGTGGGAGGTAGTGCATTAAGTCACTTTTTAAGGGACTGCCTGAGAAAGTATCAGAGGACACAGAAATGCTGAGATGTCCTTGGCTTAAGATTTCTTGACAGAAAGATGTGAGATGTATTTTCAAGTGACAGTTTGTTTATCCACTTTTTGGATGGCCAGGCACCTGAGGGCAGAGACATTTTTTGCACTAGTAATAAATACTTAGTTCTGTCTCCTTGTCCTCCAAAGTGAAAAGGGATGTGTATGTTTAATATATTTTTATTTTTCTTCTCAGGCTATGGCTTTTTCTTATAAGCTAGTGCTTAATCCAGGTTTTTTTTTCCTTGTTATTTCTTCCTTTTAGCATACCTTGCAAGACTTTTTGTCTTGAACCATCAGGCACCTGGCTCTACAGAGAAATTTGCTCCTGATGACCTCTGTAACGGAGAGGGGAGGAGAGGACTAATGGACTCTTCCTTTGTGTGGTATCCCATAGAAGCTGGATTTAATTTCTGTATCACGCATGAGATCCAAAGCAGTAGTACAAGATAAGCATATTTCCTGCTAGGGCAGATGCGTGCACAGTGCTACCTGTGCTTTCTCTTGTGCCTAGAAGGCAGGAGACTAGACACTATAGGTTTGAGGGATGTCTGAGCATCCAGATTTTACTGCATTAGCTGCTCTCTTCCCTTACCCAGCCAGAAAAGCGTGCCGGAAGGCTGCTGGGCACCAAAGAGTTTGATATGGATGCTTCCATCTGCAGTTCCTCCTGATCCCAACAGGCCTGTCGATACCCATGAGATCCTGTTCAGCCTCTGCTTTCCACACTGGGCCCACAGGTTGAGACTAGTTTTTGAAGTACCCTGTCAGGTGGTGATGGAAAAGCACCAAGTGTGAAGAAAAGAGGAATGGAAGAGATCTCTGTATGGCAGAGTACTCAACAGTGAAGATCCGTGTGTTTGCAAATTTAGAGGTCCTGCACTGGTTGTGTGGAGGCCGTGTTGACCGCTAAGTGACATCCCTCTTTGGATTTGCAGTCCAAGACCTTGCATTGCATCTTTGAGAACACAGATCACCTGTTGATTCCTGGGGAAAAAAGATGTAATGCTAGAGTATATTGTAGGCAGAAAAAAACCCAAATGTCTTAGGAGTTCTACACTGAGGTTTTTCCACAAGTCTCATTTTTTTTCCCTAAATCTCCCTTTTCTGTCTCATAAAGATTATGTCCAGATCTTGTAAGGAAAAGGATATATTCAAGATAAATATTTTCTTTTCCCTCTCCATATTGGTCATCCCTCAAGCAAGAGTGCAATGGAGGAGAGGTGACCACAACTACTCAATTTATGCTTGAAGTGAGAGATACTTGTCTTTTTCGTGTTTGTGCCACAAATGCTTGTAGCTGCAATCACACAGCACAAACTGTTTAGCATTAATCCTTCTTTTTTAATAGAGGTCTGATAAATCTCAGGTCGCTCTGTCTTTTACCCTTGCATTCTTGCTTAATGGTTCACCTTTCATGGTTCAGCAATCCACGGTAAATCAACTTTTAAAAGTAGGGTTCCAGGTGATGGATGGCTGCTCCAAGAAGAGATATTTGAAGAGGATGTGTTTCACAAATGAGCTGTCTTAGGCACTTTGGTCTTGGCGATGACCAAGTTTAGTTTTAAGCTCATGAAGATAAAAGGTGTCGAAGGTCACTGAGAACTGCTGGAGAGAGTCCAGCGCAGAGCCACCAAGATGATGAAGGGAGTGGAACGTCTCCCTTATGAGGAAAGGCTGAAGGAGCTGGGTCTCTTTAGTTTGGAGAAGGGGAGGCTGAGGGGTGACCTCATTAATGTTTATAAATATGTCAAGTGGGAGTGTCAGGAGGACAGAGCCAGGCTCTTCTCAGTGATGTCCAATGACAGGACAAGGGGCAATCGGTACAAGCTGGAACATAGGAGGTTCCACAAAAACATTAGAACAAACTTTTTCCCTGTGAGGGTGCCAGAGCCCTGGCACAGGCTGCCCAGGGAGGTTGTGGAGTCTCCTTCTCTGGAGACATTCAAAACCCACCTGGATGAGTTCCTGTGTGACCTACTGTAGGTGATCCTGCTCTGGCAGGGGGGTTGGACTAGATGATCTTTTGAGGTCCCTTCCCACCCCTGACATTGTGTGATTCTGTGTGATTCTCTCTAGAATTACTCTTGACTGTATTTAAACTTCGGAGCCTTCTCTAACAACAGACGAGTGCTGGTTTGCAATACCTCACCCAACGACTTAGTAGTTTGGAACCAAGGCTGCTGTTAGAAAAGGGCAGCAGGTGCCATTCTGGCCTTCAGCTGTGACGCAGTTAGAAGCTTTCCAAGCACTTCATACCTGTGGGGAAGTATTTGTAAGCCTGAGGATAGGATGCTCTTCACAATATAATGTCACAGGGATTACGCACAAAGTCGTGCCTTGCTGGAGCAGCAGTAGCTCGGCTAGAGGCAGGAGAAGCAGCTGTGAGGGACACGGCCGAAGCAGGTGCTATGGAACTGCCAGCTTTGAAATCATCTCATGGTGATCAACAGTGGGATATGTTGTGCCCAGATGAGTAGTTTAGTGTAATGCAGTCAAACTGTGGTTGCAAAAGGAAGTCTGAATTTTTTTTTTTTAATTAATTCAGTAGATCACTCTAGTCTAAGACAGCTTTAAATTTGAATTGTGTTGATTACATTCTTTTTGCTGCAAGCAAGGATTCAGGCCTGGGGAGAGTTAAAGCAAAGAGAAATAGTGCTGAAAACAGATTAGGTTACTAATACTTTAATTAGAGGAATTTAGAATATGTTAAGCTATAGAATTGTAGCACTGGGAGTATAGAGTAGCAAGTATCTGATTGAAGTAACTGCTTTGTCTAGTAGGGTGTTTAGTCTCATCAGTTTAAGGCGTGAACAGTTTGGATTCCCTTATCAAACACAACTACATCAAAAGAAAAAACCCTATGGAAAATAAAACTGATTGAATAAAATAAGGTCCGCCATTCAACTTAATGGTATTTCTGTTACTGTGATTTCATGGATTTAAATTCATGCAGGAACTCTGAGTACTTAAAAAATAAACAAAGTGATATTTACAAATATTTCAAGTGTCTCTTGGAATCTCGCTTGTAGACGTAGAAACATGTAAGTTACTGATTAATGAAGAAGTTTTGTTTGATCACATAAGCATGACTACTATGTATCTCTTTGAAAAACTGTGTTTAGTTTTCTCCATCTCGTTATGTGATTTTTCTCTCCAAGTCTCTAAAATGAGAAATCACTAGATTAATGCTTCTGTTTGGCATTGGAGTTGTTGCATCTGTGGGAAACATTGGTAGAATTGTAAATTATAGTTAAGTTGCATACAGATCTGAATTTTCTTTGGATTACTATGCAGTAATAGATATTAACTTTCAACTAGTTTTTGGTGTGTGTGTTTTTTCTACCTGTCTCTTTAAAAAACTCAAAAAACCAAGTAATCGGAGTTTTGATCCGAGTTGAGGTTATGTGGTAGTGAAGACTCTAGGTGATCCTGCTTTGGCAGGAGGGTTGGGCTAAATAATCTTTTGAGGTCCCTTCCAACTCCTGACATTCTGCGATTCTGTGAAGCATTTTTCCTTGATAAAAATAACAATCTTACCATGTAGTGGCTGCCTGTGTCTGTCCAGCTACTGGGATTCTGTAAGTAACAAGATAAACTTATGTGACTATATGTCGTTTAGAAGCACTAATTAGATTCTGAAACAAAGAGTTTCTTTCAGAAAGAGGTGCGTATTTACATACGTAATTGAATGTCTGAGCCTTCCCGGCTGTTAGGAACATCTGTTTCTAGATTGGGAAGTAGAGGTGTTGTTTTGTTAAGGTTGATAATATTCGCTAATATTTAAATAAGCAGGTTAGAAGCCTGGACAGCACAAATAGTAACTTTGTAAGGACCAAGCCTTATTCAGGCTCAGATCTCACACTTAACCTGAGTGAATATACGTATTTAAATTGCCTTCAGCAGGCATCATATGAACCCCTCAGTACACATGGCAGACACATACATTTCCAGTGTACCTGTTATTAAACATCTTTGTATCCCTAACCTAGCTTCAGAGGATGACAGGGCAGAAAAAAATTTAAAAAGGTAGTATAATTATCCATAAAACACAATCCTTCAGCTGTTGTACTGTTGCCGCCTCTTTTAAATGAGGACTAGCATTCTGCACTCGGCAGAGGATTTTTCTTTAAAAAGTTCTGATTTTGGGCAGAATATAGTGAGACCAGAATTAATAGTAAACTTTTAAAAAAGCAACTGTGGATGAGTGTTTGCAATAGGATGGATTTTTCCCTAGCTGTCGTTGACTTGTGTTTGCCTGAGCAGACCTCGATGCTGTCACACAATCAGCCGGCAGAGGGTAGTGTGTTCATGGAGATGTTGCTTTGGCTGAGCCTTCTGTAACTGGTGTAGGTAGCAAAAATTGACTCAATATCAGATGAACTGGCTTGATTCAGTGGTCTTCTGAAGCCATGTGATAGCAGTTCATCTCAGGTGCTTAGTGAGGTGAGACGTAATTTCTGTCCAAAAATCTGAATTAGCTATGCAATGACTTTTGACAAAAACTTCTAGGAAAGAACTTTTTGGAAGCAGTGATTGGTTATGGATCCTGGGTAATGACTGCAGTTATGGTTCTATAACTAATGAAATAATTATTGGTTCTGATAAGTCTCATCTGCCTAACTTTGTTTTTCTCAATCCCTCTCAGTGTTGGAGTTTGCCTTGCCAGCCCGCTGTTGCCATGGGTATACCAGTCTTCATACTCGCTGGTCTCCTCGTGCATTGCGTGTTTTTGGTCTCCATTTTTGACATCTACTTCAGCTCTCCCCTGGTTCATGGTATGACTCCTCATTGGACTCCGCTGCCACCTCCAGCAAAACGTCTTGTGCTCTTTGTTGCTGATGGTCTGCGGGCAGATTCACTGTATGAATTGGACAGCAACAATACATCTCGAGCACCTTTCCTGCGGTAAGTCCATCTGAAAACACTGCTAAGCAAGAAGTTTTTGCTTCTGAAGGCAGCTATTTTAACGTTAAAAAGAGAAGAGTAAGAACTGCAACTGTGGTAGCTTGGGTACTGCCTTTGAAGAAACAAATTCTGCAAAAATGTGTGAATTTGAGCAGGTGTCCCTTGTTGTCGGTAAAGCTGCTAAGCCATCAACAGAGTAAACTAAGTCAATATCGTCCTCTGAAAACTACGATTAGCCAGTAACTAAGAGTGTAACTTTCTCCATTCACATCACCACGGTATCACTTGTGAAGTCTTACAGAGTGGTTAATTCAGAATGCTTCTCGGATCTTCAGTTTAGGAGCAGTAGTTCATTAACGTGCTTGTCTTCTAGTTCTGAGCTATGGATGAGGCTTTTTAAGGAGCGAGTGAAGAAGATGGCCTGAATGGATCTAACAGCAGGCTGCCACGTGCTCCTTGTCCCACCCTTCCTGCATGCCTCACTCTGATGTCTCCCTTGTGCTCTCTAGTGTGTGTCGAATTGCTTAATGGAATGATTTGGTTTAAAATGATTGTGAAAAACTCATCCACCAAACAAGAGTATAGAAGTCATATCCTTGGGTGTTTCAAACTAATTTTCACCAACTTTCTATGTTTCCTTATATCAAGTTAATTATTTGAACATAAGACAAATAACTTCTTAGGCTAAAAAAAGGTAGACAGTATTAAATAAGACTGCTTTTGTGCAGTAGCACTGGTCTTCCTTTTGAGTATCAGAGCAAATCTGAATAAATCAAATCGTCTGAAGCCGTTAGTGCGTTTGCATTCTGGTACAGAAATCTGAGGAGCTCTTACTACAGCACTTGCCAGTTTATATGGGATTACTTGTGCCTGCTTCTCCTGTTGTTAAGTATTTTTGTAAGGTGCTGTTTGCCACTGGCAGATGTCTGCCACATCAGCCTGAGTTTTCCATGTTGTCTTTCAGCAGTGGACTTCATGCTTCCTCCAAAGCAGTTTCTTGTCTTAGCAGTAAAACTGTTGGTCTTTTTCACCATCAGCAAGGTGTGAATGTCATAACAGCCCCATCACTAGGAGAAGTAGCAGGTAGGAAAGAGTTAGCATTGACATTTTTGCCATTAAGTGGTTCCAGTTTTTCAGTTTCAGCCATTCAGCATTATCACACCTATGTAGAAATAAAAAGTTAAACCAATAAAAAGTTAAACCAGCTTGTCCAGTTTGCTGGGCAGTTTGCCCTTCTGCTGTTCCTGCTTAACCTTGTTTGTGGAGTTATGGGCTTTTGATTTCAAAGTCTGTAGAAGTAAAACATTGTCACCTGTGGTGAAAAGACGTGGGTGAAGGGAGGGTAACAACTGCCTTGCAACAAGCAGAGATACTGGTAGGTCACCGAGTGGAATAAAATGCCAGTAGGAGTTTGAAGTGCCGTGTGTATTTCTCTCATATCTCGTTCTGCTTATAAGTACGTATTTGTGTGAGCACGTGTATGTGAGAGGTGACAAAAAGATAAAACATATGGCACGTTGTGCTTTCTGAAAGGTGGAGGGCCAGGCAGTCCAGGACATATCTTCTGTGTCTATTACATATATACATATATACATATATACTGCTACAATTTTAAACCAAGGGGCTCGGTGTTTTGTCACCGAACCTTTGAGCTTCAAAACCTCACTAAGTTAATCTTGTGAACAGGTTGATAAGATGAGATTACTGGAGGTGTTTCCTTTGTTATTATGCCTGAGCTTTCCTTTTTCAATAATATTGACCCAAAGGATATTCAGTTTAATATAAAGTTCACTTTTTTGCACATTGATTCCGAAGTGCCAAGGGTTCAGTCTCTTATCCTCGTTATAGTAGCAGGAAACATACCAGCCAAACCGTCTTGTCCAGGTGGAGCACTTTGTAAACTACTAGGTTGTTAATGAGGAGATGTTATCTTTAAATGAGGAAGAACCATTCTTTAGAAACAAACAGAAGGAAAGCTTTAGTAGGTGCATAAGATCAGTAAATATCCATTAGGCTTGGAGCATATTGCTGGCTGATATATGCCAGGTACCTAGTCTTTTCTCATATAAATATTCTTGAAAAATCTGGTTTTCAGCAGTGTTGTGATAGTTATGAGCGACAGTAGATGGTCTGAATTGCTGTGGTGGTGGTAGAGGAAGATGTTTTCTTCCTTGCCTGTCGTGTTTCAGCCATATTACTGTATCACATTCATAGTTGTTACTATGGGTAGCTAATATTTATAATCACAAGGAAATTATTTTTTGTAACGATTCTTCTGACTAAAAGGCTTTGAAATAATGCAGAGTAGCTAAATAAATTTTGAACAAGTAGATATCAATATCTGGCTATATCTTTTTCTGCCTGGTATGTGTTATTGTTGACTTCATATCCTGTGATAAAACCCCACAAAAGCAAGGGTAAAGATTACTTTCCAGCTCAGTAGAAATCGAATTCTAATTAAAACCATTCCTACCTTTCGTGACAATGAAGTGTGAGGATGGCCCAGTGAGTTTTATTTTTGTCTTAAATCTTTCCACTAATGCTAGCGTAATATATTTTGACCAGAGTCTCCAGTGAAATCAGAAACCACTTTAATACCCAAATGCTTTTTTCAAATTAGTACTTTTTTTCAGTACAACTTTTCTTAAAACCTAGCCGAGATGAGAGCTAGGAATTAGATGTCAGAGTCCTATATCACCTTTTTACATTTTGCACTGTAATATTCGGGCTGTTCCAAGTGGTTTTTTGAGCTTTCAAGTAGGCCCAGGAATGTGAGGTTTAAGATGAATTGTAAAGAAAAAAACAGCAAGCAAACTGTGAATCCTGCAAGCTTAGAGTGAAGCCTGAAATTTTAGGTTGTGATTTAATTCTTATTTCATTAGTAGGAAATCTATTTAGAGCTGAGTATACAGATGTTACAATTAACAGTTCTGTAAAATCTTTGTTAAAAATAAAGTTACAAAGCATGGACTTAGAATCTACTTGATCTAGAACACATCCGATAAAAATACAGCAAATTTTGTAGCTTCTATAATGAACAACAAAAATACAGTTTCCTAGTAGGTTTGACTCTTAAAACTGCTTTGAATTTGTTCGGGAGATTCTGCTGCTTGTCCTAAACATTAGTATAAGGTATGTCCTGCTGTATTTTGTTTCCTTTTCCTTCTTTCTCTTGCTCTGACAGTAGGTTGTGAATCTTTCTCTTCTTCCAGAAGATGGAGACAAGGAAACAGCATATGGTAATGCTCACTGCTTACTCTCTGACAGGCTCCAGATGTTCATATCTTCAGCAAAGAAGAGTAGTTTGAGGTTGTTTCTTACACTTGGGCTTTGTCCTCTATTTCCTTTGCTTTTTATCTGTTGTAACTATTGTGTGAGCATAATCCCTAGACAATTTTTGTGTTTCTCTATATGTGGTGAAAAGGTATTCTCCTTCACTTTGGTGTTAATTGCAGAAGATGCAAGGTTTATTTAAATTTTATCCATGTTGCTGAAATGATTTGCACCTTAGATTTATGTGGGTTTTAAATTCTCTTGGTGCTAGCTTCCAGTATTTGACAGAGATAAAAGCAGACATGGTCACAAGATCTGATTATAATTGAGCATATTTAATGAGTAAGAGGAGATTGAACTAGATGTTTTCAAGCTAAATGGAAAGAACAAAGCAAAGTAATACCAGGCAGAAAGAATCTGTTAGGGGAAAGAAAAGCTATAGTAGAAAGCAGCAAAAAAGAAGTAGTATGTTAATTCTAAGTGTATTAGAACACCAGCTAAATTCGTCTGTTTGCCACAATACTAATGTTCTCTGGGGAGTATTATAGTATAAGATTTCTTGCAGGTTAGTATTGTGCTTGTTTTGCTGCACAGCAGGTGATGGTGAAAATCGGTTTTACTCTCGAGTGGTTTTTGCATTTCCTGCCTCACATCTACCTGTCACTGTGTTTATCTGCGATTCGCTGTACTTTCAAGAAGTCATAAGCATTAACTGCCTTGTATCCTCTTTCCAGGGGAATTCTAGAGAATAATGGCAGCTGGGGAATCTCTCACACCCGGGTCCCAACAGAGTCCAGGCCAGGGCATGTTGCGCTTATAGCTGGGTTTTATGAAGATGTCAGTGCAGTTGCTAAAGGTATGCTGGTTCTAAAGCTTTAAACACTGTCCTCCAAAATAAGGTATTCTGGTGATGTACTCAACTTCTAGATGATTAATCATAAATACCTGCATAGTGGAAAATAGCTTATGTAAGTTAATATTTTGTAACATGGTAGAATTTCACACCCAAAGTGTAAAAGCAGAACTATCTTATGGAGTGAGCTCTTCTTGTAACACAGCTTTTACTTGTCCTTTGGGATATAATGGGAGATGGCTAATTAGTAGCCACAAATGAGAAGTGAACCACAGTGTCAAAAAAAAGGACTGACTTGGAGAATCAGTAGCAAAATAAAGCAAAAACTCCCAGCTGTGTGTTTTGCCCAGCTGTCACTGTGTGCCTGATGATTCATCATCATGGCTAGGCTTCACGAACTAAGACGTGGGCAGGGCTCTACCCACACTTGCTACAAGTGCGCTGATGGCTAAAAAGGCTGATGCGGTAGAGGCAAGTCCAGTTGCAAAAGGCACAGCGGAAAGTCTCCTGAGGCGGTATTGGCGAGGCACGGTTCTTTCTGTGTTGTCTTTTCTCCTCGAGACTAATTCTACGTGCATTCTCAAAGGAGGCAGCAGCATTATGGATGCAAAATAAAGCGAAAACTCCCAACTGTGTGTTTTGCCCAGCTGTCGCTGTGTGCCTGGTGATTAATAACATGGAGTAAGCCTTTGTGTTACTGACTTGATCTTTCGTGTGGTCCTCTGCCGTCCCTCAGCCCTCTAGGCCTGAACACTTGGAGTGCTGTGTGCGGGTTTGGGTCAGGAGAGATAGGAGGAATTACTTGGTCTTATCCATGTTCCTAATAAAAAAGTTCTTCCTCCTGACATCTGCTACAAATGCAGGAATTGCTGTTAAGAGCATCTCTGTATTTCTGTCAGCTGTCTTATCATGGATACAGAAGATCCTGAAGGTTTTATTGTGATGGGGTGGAACGTGACTGCTAGAAATATGATATATGACTGTGTAATTTATTGCCTAAAATGCCAAAAGCTGAGTTCAGACAACAGGAGATTTAAAATTCAGGAGAGTTTTAGCTGTTGATGAGATAAACAGCTGTGTGTTTTTTCCTGTTTGAATCTCTGCATAATGAAATTGGCTTAAGTTATCAGCTCACTTCTTAATGAATGGAAGACTAGTTGCAAACCAAGGTTGAAATGAAAGTAAAACCAAGACTCACAAAGTCGAGTTCATTATGAGATAATATAAGAGAAACTTAAAAATACCCCAACAGTGTGCGTGGATTTATCAGTCTTAGGAGTCAACGAGATCCTCTGACAATTCCATTTAAATCCAGTATGTTTGTTTAACAGGGTGGAAGGAGAATCCAGTGGAATTTGACTCTGTTTTCAATGAAAGTAAACATACTTGGAGCTGGGGAAGCCCGGATATTTTGCCAATGTTTGCAAAAGGTAAGTTTTATATTTAATGAATCTTTAACACATAGACAACAGGTAGTTAGAGATTTATTGTTTTTTGAGTTAGAGAAGAAGGTGAACAAAGTATTTCCAGTTTGTATATCTGTGTATACCTGATTTCTAGTTTGTGATTTCAAGACTGGGTGGAGAAACAGAAGCAAGCTTTTAAAGAGCATATCCCTATTTATTACTTATGCATTTAAATAGGCCATACAGAATTCTCTCAGAATACTAAAGGAAACACACCTTTAGTTAAAAGGATTTAGTTTTGGGGGGTTTTGATTGGGATTTAAAGCTCTTGTTTGCAAGCCTGCAGCTGTGTTTTTTCTTCTTCTGCATACAGCTCCCACTGAGCTGGGTAACGGAACTGCAGCTGTGCTTCTGAGTGTCTGAGCTGAAGCAGCAGCTTACTGTGGTTATCCTGCTTCTACTCCAGAACAGTAATGTATAAAGGGAAGAAGCAGGAACTGCCTGATACTATTCCTGAAGCTGAGGTCCCTGTGGTGTGCAGAGTGTTAAGGTCTTGTCAGCCCAGTGCAATTGGTCTTTAAGCAGAGATTGCTGAGCAATGCTTCAAATATTTAAAGGGTCTCCAGGTTCAATTTTGTCCTATTCTTTGAAGAATGAGGGCATATACACCCTTTTCTGCAATCTTAGAATAAAACAGGCTGAAGTGAAACGGGGACAAACCAGGGGCATATGCTGCTGTTCTGTTCTAAGTATTGGCACTGACAAACTAGGAAAATGTTGATAGGCAGGAGAGGAGTGGAATCTAATACTGGTTTAGAAAAAGTGAACATCATTTTTCTCATGTCAATTCTCTTACTTTTTCTCAACTCTGGTCTCTTCTCCCTCTCCTTCTGATATTTTCCTCCCCCTTCCCCCCCTCCCACCCTTTTTCTGTTCTTTGCTTGATTCTAATAAGTTTATGGTAAGCTGTAAAAACATCTCCTGAGAATTTCCCATGACCTTAGAATCCAGTTTTTATTTGGGAATACTGTGATTTTGGCTGCGGAAAGGGGAAAGGTAGCACACTGCCCTTGCACAGATTATTGACTTTTTTGGAGATCTGTTCTTGGGAAAATATTTGAGGAATTCAAGAATTTCCCAGACCCCTGCCCTTCTGCTAGTTTGGTTTGAGTAAGAAGATAAGCAGAGGACTTGGAAGCAGCTTTGATGTTATCTGGAGGGGTCATACCATACTGTTGCTGTGTCTCTCGTGAGTGGCACCAGCAATGGAACTTTCTTTTGTGGGGGAGGGAAGTCCCCCCCAAACTGATAAAGGTTTAGTGCAGCACTGTATCTGAGAGGTAGATGCCGTATGGTAAAATGAATTGTAGTTTCTCATGATAGAAAGGTAGATGAACTTACTTTTTTTCTACTAAAAAAAAAAATCTTGCCTTTTTCCAAAGTGGAAAAGTTTTATAATACAGAAAGGATTTTATAATATGAGTTTCTAAAGAGGAGTTGTATAATACAGAAGACAATAGAATCCAGTGTTTGTTCTTCACTTCTAAAAAAAGGCCGAAAAGGACAGGGGAGAGCATAGCTTAATTTCTCACCTGCTTTCCATGTTGCGATTTAATGAGGTGACAGGACTCTTCTTATGTGTTTTTTATCATGCCAGAATGCTCACAATTTTATTAACTCTTTCACCATTTTCACCGGGTGATGCATAAAGAGTATATAACACTTACTAGTTTTTGGGAAGGGGATAAAAATCCTTTGTTTCCTGACATTGTCTGTGTTCTTCAGGTCCTCTTCCTGTTATAAAATAAATATTTCAGTGGAATGTTTGAGGATACTGTAAAAAAGTTAAATAAAATACTTTGAAAATGCCTATTTTATTTTCAGAACGCTCCTTAAAATTGTGAGATTTTCATCTAGACTTGCCAGAATTTGAGGTTTAACTTGAGCAGTCCAGCCTTGTACTGTTTTGTCATGACTCTTGATTGGAGTGTAATCCAGAGTATTAAATGCCATGCTGAAAAAGGAGCTGAGGCTGTTGCTTCTGTTAAGGAAAGTAATGATTAGTCCGTTGCACCCAGATTGCCATTTGTTCCACAAGTTCCCTTTCTCTCTCTTGGAAACTGGCAGCAAGGCTAGGGTCATTGTTTAGCATGAGTATAAAGAAGGGCATCATCAAGACCATGGGGATAACTGGGACAAACCTTTGTCAGGGTTACTCTGGACAGACAGACCTCTTGGTCTCCTCTTCTAGTTCCTCGTTCCTACAGGGCACCAAGAAAAATGCAGAATTTCTTACATTTCCGCACCTGCCTGCATTCGATGACAGCTCTCTGATGCCCGCTCTCTGTTGATTCAGTGTCTGACTTTCCTTGTGCCTTCGTTCTTTATTCACCTCTTTTGTGCCTGCAGAATTTTCTAGCAAATGTCTCCTGCTGGTCTGGACTCTGACCTGTGAACGGCTTGTCCCCAGGGCCTGCCCCATGAGCAAAGCAAGAGCTTTCCTTTCCGCAGGACCTAAATCTTACTGTAAGAGGGTAGTAACTCGATCCCTGACCCTAATATTTGAATGTTGATGCTGAGCACAAGATGATGCGCTGGACAAGTCTGCAAAAAGAATAAGTGGTATCTGGTGTGGGAGTTTTTGTCCCCCACAGTTATTTTCCTCAGTATAATGGCACCACCAAACTCGGTGGAGCTCTGTGCTCACTTCTAAAGCATGTTTTCATCCCTAGTTTCCTTCGACTTCTCTATCCCATCTTTGCTTCCTCATCCCCCAACTTAAAGTTGCCTGCCACCTCTCAAACAACAGAAATAAACATTTTATAACATTTTGCATAGTATGGTTTCTTATTAAAAAAAAAAACCAAACAACCTACAATTATTTCATAAGCTATGCGGGCACTCCAGAACTTTCCTAGTGTGACTTTGTTTTGCCACTATTTCTCTTCATAGCAGTGCAGGGTTGAGTGGGTATTTTTTTTTTTGCTTTGGTAGAAATTAAAAATGGATAAGTAGTAGATGTGTTCCTTTACCTAGTCTGCAAACTGCGTGCTTTCATTTGGCTTCTTTGGTGTGGCCTCCCTCAAAGACAGGGTCTTCTCTCGCTTTCTGTGAGACAATGGAAAAACAGTACAGCGCTCTACCCTCTTAGACCATCAGTCGGCCTGACATTGATGGCCAAGGCTTATTTCTTCTTTTGAACCTATTTATCCACGAACTGGAACTCCTTAATTCACTTTTTAATGCCTGGAAGTATTTTCTTTTTTTTCTTTTATACTGTGAGAACTGCAGCAAGTGGCTTATAAGTAGTAGTAGTGTCTGCTAGGGAGCTCAAGGGAGAAAATCAGAAAATGAGTGCCAGCTTTCATCTTCCTGGCCTGAAATACCTGCATCCCTTGTGTGAGTTTGGACATAGTCTTGGTTAAACAGCTCCCTTATATTGGGATATTAGTTCAGTCGCAAGCCTGGAATCTTACAGAACTGCATTATGTAATTGTGACATCCAGCAGATCAGTTATATTCTCTCTGGCCATCAACTGATTGAAGAACATTTTTGCCTCTGGGAGTTTATATTGTCATGGTAGAAATAGCATCCCTGAGTTGTAACAGCTCAGCCATTGACTGGATTGTAATGTATTATTTCATTAAACTCCACCTAACTTTACGTCTTTCCAGGACTTCAGAATTTTACTTCCTTCTAAGTCTTCATCTTTTTTCCTTCCCCTTTCTTGGCTTTGCTCTCTTGACAGTGAGTACAGAATTAAATTGCCGTGTCCAGATGTTGTGTTTTCGCATTGGTGACCCTCATGTTGTGCTTTATGCCTGAAGGTAGTCCAGTAGTTCTCCTTTTTATGTTTTGGATCCATGTTTTAAAGGTTCAGACTTTGAATATTGCCTTTCTGAAGTTGTCCACTTAGCTTTCCATACTGCTTTGCCTCCTAGAATTCATGTACAGTAACTAAATTATATCCCTCCTGCTGCCTTCCTTATATGTAATACATGATGTTTTCCTATGTAAAAGGCCTCATTGATAGAACATTGTTTTGTATGATCCATTTTAACAAAAACTTAGTTCTGTTTAATTTCCTTTTATCTGGGATTTGTTCTACTCCTATCTGGTGTTCTGTATTTTATTTCCTCACGTGAGCATACTGGATGACATTGTTCCTCATTCCTCTGAGGTGATGATAAGCTCATGGATTAAAATGGTATGCAGGCTTCAAAAAACCATAAATGTTGGGAAAGTTAAAATAACGAGAAAACTTCTTTGATTCTCTCAAGATTGTAATTTTTGATAGGTTTCTACTCCTATGCATTAATATTCATGTATTTTTGACTATGAGAAAATAAAGATGACTTTTCTCTGTCTCCTATTCCATCTGCATTGTTTTTCGCAGGTGCTACAGGAGATCACGTTTATACATTTTGTTACACGGCGGAAAGTGAAGACTTTGGAGCAGAAGATGCAGCCAAGCTTGACACATGGGTTTTTGATCATGTTAAGGTGAGCAGTGGATCCTTTTATGCTGCACGTATATAAAAAGCACAGCTGTATGTTAACTTTGTCATAGAATGTGTTTATCATAGAACTAAAAAGTAAGAGATCTTAGAAAGACCCATCACTTGGGGTCGTATGTAAAACTTGCTTGAATCGATTATCATGACTAGTGTAATGGAAACTTAGAGGAAGCATTTGTCTTTTAGTGCTAGTAAAAAAAAAATCATTAATAAAAGCCCCTTTTAAAGACATTGTTTGGCTTTCTTTGTCTTAAATTTGCATATAATCTGAAATCCAGAGGAGTCACTGTTAGTTTGGAGGGAGACAAGGACATCTTAGGCCCTGGAGCAGTATAACTTGTTCCTGTGGTGCTCTGCTTGGCTGATTTGGATGTCACTGCTGGTTCACGACTGTTGTTTTCTGTGATGCTGTCACTGGAAGTATGAATAATCCAAGGCACATAGTTTCTCATTATTCATTAATTCCTATATTCATATTATTCCATGCTACCTCACTTGTCCTGGGTTAAGAAATGCTGATAGTGGGCATTGGTGTGTAAATATCTGTATTGGTGAAGCACTTAGGTGAGTTACTTTCTGTATCTCGTAACAATGTTAATGGAGTTTGAGACTTACTAAAACTTTTTTCCACGAGGTCTCTGGGCTGCATATATTAACATTAGCTAACCAGCACAAATGAAATCAAACAAAAAAGAAAAGCAAATAAATCAGTAGACCAAATCAGCTTCTGTTAGGAAGCCAAGGGGTGATCTGCTTTAAACAGTGACGTAGGGTGGAAAAGTGCAGTATAGTTTGCTAATTTTTGAAGGAAGTGGTTTTCTGAGTTTGCAGGTGAAAGGATGTATTTTCTAACTACCATCCTCTCCATGAATTTGCACTTGTGCTGGGATTGTGAGTTGTAATCGATATGAATAATATAAATCAAATTAGGCTGTCAATGACACTTGAGTAGCTGTTGTCTTAAAGTTGCACCCTGCACAGTTATGTGAGGGTGGTACTACGTTTTTTTTGCTTCAAAAAACCTAATGACATTTTTTCTTTCCAACTATAATGATATGCTTGATATATATATCATTACTGATAACTTTTCTCTTGGAACCAGCACCATTATCTGAAAGACTTATTTTGCCCATCTAAATTTCATACTGTGATGGATAGCACGTGGCTGGCTAGTATAAAATATTCATTTTATTAATCATCTTTTCAGTTACATATCAGTGATGACTTCAGAAGCATGAAACGTGAGACTGACTCAAACCGAGGTCAGTCTGCTATCGTAACTCGAACAACTCTCAGCTGTGCTAGTGTGGTGATATATATAACTGACAATTTGCTGAAAATCTAAATTCTGCTTTGCCTGCATTTTCTTTTTGTCCTTTGGGATACTCAGTTAGATAACCTTTGCCTAGATCATAGTTTGAGTCTGTGCTAAAGAAAAATTAGGGAGCAAAATGCTGGGAGTTTGGGTTAACTAACAGGAAAAAATGGTCTTTTTAATGCATTTCTGATTTTTTAAAGTATTTTGTGAAAAACAGTTTTATAAGATTGAACTCTTTTTTAGGGTAAAATGATTAAAATTCCAGGAACTCTATCAGCCTTGGAGATGAGTCCCAGTAATGAACTAACCACAATTTATCATGACCACAGGGTAGGATATACTCGAGATACTCATTTGATGTCTTCTGACTTAAGTGGGACATGCAGGTGCAGATGGAAAACATTTTTTTTCTTTTTTTTCTTTTTTTTCCCCTTTTCTGATTTTGAGCACAGTGCTTCATTCTTCCTTTGGCCTCTTTCTGCTGGAAGAAGACCAGGCCAAGCTTTTAAACTGTCCCTTCTGTGCGGGGTGAGGGCTGGAGTCCAGAACTGCGTGATGGTAAACTTTGACGCTCTGCAGACAGGGCCATGACCTGATGTTGATTTCTGCCAGTGGATTTCAATACAACTAGCTCTGCTCGAACAGGGAATACAAGGTTGAAGGATTTATTGTAAATATGTGTAGGAGTCTTGTGCCTGAGCATGCTCGGCTGATACAAACCTGACGTATTATATATGTTTGTCCTTCCTTTGCATATTTATTTTATGTCTAACATCTGGCATAACTTTTTTAACTCTCATGTCAACAGAAAACAGGGTGCACAGCTTTAATCAACCGATTTAATTAATTTGTCCTGGATTTATATACGAAGAGCTTTGTGAAAAGAGAATATTTGGTCTCTTTCTGCCTGTACATCATGCAGTCAGCAACAGTGTATGAGCTCTATTAAAGGAGGAGCCATGAGGAGCTCTGTTTGGGAGAACAAATGGTCCCCAACAACTTACCTTAAACAACTGTGGAGTCTGTATTTTGTTCAGATATCACTACATCATGTATTTGCTAGACCTTTTAGGTAGTCTTTTTTTCTTCTTTGCTTTCTCCCATTCAAGGAGGGAGATGATACTAGAAGATTTCACGTGATTGTAACCAAACATCTCTTGTAATACTCTCGTAATAATTAGTATTACTTTATAATTAATTCTAGAGTTTATTGTGAATGTTTTAATGGGAAGCTTTTGTAGATCTTACTAAATTGTGTATCAGTTGTAGCCAAGGCATTATTTCTTGTGGGTTGCCAAAATCGTAGTAAAAAGTAGGTTGGAAGAAAGCTGAGTCAGGGAGCATTGAGTCCAGCTCCCTGCATTAGGGAGTTTCAGTCAGAGCAGGCTGCTCACGCCTTCCCCAGTCAAGTTTTGAGCATCTTAAAGGCCAGAAATGCAACAACCTGTTGAACATCTGTTCTAATGTCTGACTATAGTTACGGTCTCCTTATCTTACTGGAATTTCTCCCCTTGTCACACCACCAAGGCCATCTGAGCTGTCTGACTCTGTCTTTGCTCACCCAGTAGGCATTTGTAGACAACAATGAGATCTTTCCTTCGCTGCCTTTTCTTGAGACTGGAGAAGCTGCATTCTCTCAGCCTCTTTGTTGTTTACTCTTATCCCTGAAACTTCTTGATGGCATTTGGCTTAAGTGTACAAGGAAGGTAGTATTTACTCAAGAGAGCAAATAACAGGGAACCATAAAAAACTGAGATAGGTATCTTATAGTAGTGGCTTGGAAACTAGTGTTGAATGGTAGTAGCTCTCAAGTTTTGTGAATGCCGCGGACCAAAAAGAAGATGGCTTTAGCAGGCTGCAAGGAGATACGAGGATAGTGCTGGTCAAACAGTTCAGCAATCTCTTCAGCAAGGTGACCTGTTTTTTGCTTCTACTGTTCGGTGTCCTCTGTGCCAGCTCACTACCTTTATCTGCCTAAGACAGCTCCTTGTGGTGAACTTCCTATTTGTTTTTTTCAGCACACCATTTTAAAAAATGTTCCATGGCATGTTTGCTGTTTGCTCTGGGAAAATATGCCACATCTTAGGTTACATTAATCTCCCTTTTGTCGTCCAGTTCTTAATTAATTCAAGGTTGGGCAAGATCTTCAGGCTGCTGCTGCTCTGGTTTACGAGGTGACTGGGGCTCGGAGCATTGGAGGGATTTAGGGAGAGGAGAAACTCGGGTCTCCCCTTCCTCACAACAGTTTCTTCCACTTAATCAGTCTGTAATAGAAAAATACCTGCCTTCTAATATTGATCTACATTTTAAGATTTGATTTTGGGAATTTCCTCTTTGTCTGGTTTGATCTGTTGTTTCCTTTTACTTAATTAAAAAAAAAAGAAAACAATTTACCGTATCCTTCAAATTACTGGTGTGGGTCTAGAAGGTTTCTTCAGTCTGCGATCAGATATGTGCGGATGGACTTATCCATGTGGAAGATGGAAATCTCCATACAAATAATTATACTGCTGTTGAATGTGATCAGATTTTGTTCCTATATCCTTATTTAAAATGTCTCTGGACTTTGGTCATGATTTTGTTTGGACAAGAGCTGAAGCTGAGAGTGTGCAAATATTAGTCCATGCGACTTGTGTATATTCAGGGAGGAAAAAAAGGTGAAATTGCCTGGTGCCATGGTTTCCCGACACAGCTTACTATTGTAAGCTGTTACTGCCAGCTTGAGCTTCCTCTGCATGCAGTGACTTTGGTTTACACAAGGTGTGAGCTTTAGTTTTTAAGAGCTCCACCACTATCACAGGTGTGTGGTGGACTGTTCAGTCCTTTACTGGCAGAAATGATTGCCTGGCTCTGCTGGCATTTTCCCTGGACTGCTGCGTGAAATTTGAAGACGCTTTCCTTTATATTAGTGTGCTGAAAGGTTCTCGGGATGCTCTTTGAACTAAAACCCTACACAACTTTGTTTCCTTGGGCAATGCTGTTCCTAAGGAGATGGGGCTGGAATAACTGTCTGCCTGCATTTTGCCTTGCTGTGACACAGCTGGTCTGACACAGCATCGCCATGTCAGGACGTATTCATTCTGAGGGGAAGATCCCCCCTGGCATCTGCCTCAGGGATGCTTCAGTAGGACATGTGCAAGGCAGATATATGTTCTGCAGTTCATGTATTTGCAAAAGTTGTCTTGTTTTGTTCTGTTTTAGTTTCTGCAAACAAGTTGTAGCTTGGTATCTGCATCCTGCAGGACCTGCTTCCAAAGCAGGACTGAACGAGACCTTTGCTTCCAGCCTGAAACTAGGTCAGTGGAAACGTAAAGGCATAAGTGGTGCTCGGGAGTGGTTCACTGTGGTTATACAGAGGCCAAGAAGAAATGATGAACAGTTACCTTGTATTTCTGCCTAAAGAAACTAAAACAAACCAAACCAAACAAAAAAACCCAACTGAACAAGAAAAAACCCCACCAAAAGAAATAGCATAAAGGCCCCACTGCTTGAGGAATGTTACCTTAAATAAGCTGAAACTTTGAACTGACTATGCTGATGGTAGTTATTCTTTGAGAAGTGAATTAGGGAGTGATTAATTTTACTCATTTGTAACTAATAACTACTAGTATTTTGACAAGAAAACAGCTGTGTTTCACTTTTAATAGGCTGGCTATCATCTTTTTTCCACTGTACTCAGATTAATATCTTAATGACTTATTCCATACAGAGCTTCTTTAATTCTTCCAGAAGTAATCAAACGTTGTTCTCTGCACTGAATGAGGAGAAAGTGGTTCTGTTCCTGCATTTGCTAGGCATAGACACAAATGGACACGCTCATCGGCCAAACTCAAGGTAATTGAGACATTAAGCGTATCTTTCTTACTAGTTTGAAATGCTTACAGTAACAGGTCTCCTATGTAGAAGTGACAGATTTTCTGCAATATACAGTGTGTCTGGATATACTCCTGTACTCAGGTCTGATTTTTAGCAGACCATCTTAGTTATAGTCCATGTATAATGTAGAGGATATGCAGAAAATTGCAGTTTTAAATGTAAAATGGGAAGACTTCTCAGATTCCTCATGATTGAAATGGTACAGTTGAATTTATAGACAACATTAAGCTCAGGAACGATGACTGCAAATTCCAGCATTGTGTTTTAGCTTTCCTGGACAGAGAAGAGTTTAGATTAACAGTCATTAACGCATCAATTCATCTTGAAATTAGTTATTTGAGAACTTTCTTTTCATTTCCTCACATTCCTTGAATGTAAGATTCTTTCTTTTGATCCTTGCATACTTTCAAAATCCTTAGACTTAAAGGGGAGAGATTTTACATTTTGGATGCCTTTTGTTAGCTTGAGGTTCTGTAAAGGACAAAGCTGCCCTATAATCAAAAAATTGGGCGTTATGACCATTGATAACTCACTTCATACCAAGTGTGAGAACCACCTTGAATTTAACAACATTTTTTCATATTGTTAAAGGGAATACAAGGAGAATATTAAAATAGTTGACAAGGGTGTAGAAGAAATTACTTCAATGATTGACAATTTCTATGGAAATGATGGGAAAACTGCATTTATTTTAACTTCTGACCATGGAATGACAGATTGGGGTGAGTCTTTTTAGATGTTGAGTTTATGAGTGAGTATCTGGAGTGTGATTAGAGGTTTTAGAGCCCTTGCTTTGATTTGCTTATGTGTTACTCATGTATGAAATCCAGGCAAATTAGGAAATGGTTGATTGGCTGCAGGCGCCATCATCAACCCTGTGACACCTGCGTTTGTTATTCCAACAAAAAAAGAAATAATAATAGGGTGAAGTTTAACTCCCTTAGTGGCTGCTAACTGGGGAGGAAGAGATCTGAACACCACCTCTGTCAGAGCTTCCCAGCAGAAAACCAGCCTAGGCAGGTGGAGGTCGTGTTACTTGGCTTCCAGCTGCAAAGCTGGTCTTGTAGCCAGTGTGGGACAGAAATTGTAGCACTTTGCTCTGAAACACCTGGGAAAGGTGAAAAACCTGTCTGGGAGCTGGTGAAAAACTTGGGGGGAAGTCTTTTTGCTTTTTTTTTGGCCTTTTAGGCACAGCAGAAAGGATGGGACTGCTGTGCGGTGTTTCCAGAGGAGGCTGGCTCTGAAGTGTAGGTGCAGCAGCTGAGAGGACAGAAGGGAGAGTGAGGCAAGTGGCTGCCCAGGCTGGTACCCACAGAGGGCACTTGTGAAGGGCATGACTAATGGCATAATTAGATTTAACTGTGATATTTTTGAACAAAGGATGCTTCAGGCATGGTCTTGGCAAAATTCAGCCTCTTAGTTTGTGTGTGAAATCCTAAATTTTTCAAATGAAAGGGTTGCAGACTTTTTCCTGTTATCAGAGATGACAGAAGTATTCAAAAGCAGCCTAATTATCATCTGCTCATTTGCGTATTAGTCTGATTTGAATATTATTTACTGTTGAGCTGACTGCCACTTGCAATAAGATTTTTAATTCAGACTTTTTTTGTCTATTTCAAGGAATAATATTTTTTTTTATAAAGGAAGTTTTGCATACATATTTTTTGCATATATGGTATATTGTTATAGAGACCTCAGGAGGCTCAAGCACCGACTTAAAGCAAGATCAGCTTTGGGATCAGACAGGGTTGCTTGGACTTTATCCTGCAGAGCCTTCAGAAATCTTAACTCCAGACCTATGTGTTGTTAAGCTTAGGGTTTTTTTTAAAGAAAGCAAAGATGGCTTTCCAGCAGTGCCATAGTGATTGGTTTTGGTGGTTGAATCGTTAATCTGGAGGGAATTAATTTCCCTGGGGAATTCAGTCATGTTTTATGAATTTTAAAGGAGTATGCTGACAGGCTTTAAAACCATAAAAATGAACTTGTATCACTGTGGAAGGGATGACAGTTGCAATGCATTTTGCCTCCTGCTTTTGAAATGGAATTTTAGGCCTTATCTGGGGACCACAGATCAGCTGATTTTTTGAGCATGTGCCTAATTTTACTGAATAATCCCTGTTTTCCAAGGGATGCTCAGGATAGGCACGTGCATGTGGTTCTGAACAGGTCACTCCTCTACATCTGGAGACTTCCAAATACTTTGGGTTTAGGCACTTTGAGCTATCAAGCTGGAATACATTGTCTGTAACAAGGTCTTAATATGCATACTGTAAAAATTTAACACGTGTGCATATATATATATAGAGAGAGAGAGGGGTTTTGTTCGCTTTTTACACCACATGTCTTAAAGTTTACCCTTTTTTTGGTTTGGTGTATCTTAGGATCCCATGGAGCTGGTCATCCCTCAGAAACTTTAACGCCACTGATTGTTTGGGGTGCTGGGGTGAATTATCCCCAGAAAGTCACATCCCAGTTCTTTGAAGACAATTTTTTGAAAGGTAGGAAAAATGTAAAACTTAAGTGCAAGATTTTGGTGAAAAGGGAGGTGTTTTACTATTCTGCCTGTTGATTATCACTGTCTTCTGCTTCGTTACAGCAACTACGACTTGCTTTGTGTAGTGTGGAAATGTGAACAGTCTTTCTCATTGTTTTTCCCCTTTCTAATTTACTTAAGAAGAGTAAACTTTTAAAAAAATAATTTTTAGTATTTCAAATAAGTAATGTAATAAATATTGTCTTACACAGCTCTAGAAATCCATTGATATCTCAGTGTGGTTAAACTGTGAAAGCTCTTTTTTATGTGCCCCATTCTTGCCTTGAATCTTTCAGATTGTTACTCACAATCAATGAGGTAATGATTTTCTATTTTATTGTATTGTCTGTCAAGCTACTTTAGAGAGGAGAAATCAGGCAAAAATGACTTGAGCCCTGAGGTTTTAACCCTGCCCTGCTCTTGTGAAGGTATTTGGTAGCAGATTAAACAGGACTTCTCAGATACAGACTGTGCTAACACTGGCGATTAACTACTGCTGTAAAACTATGAAATCTCTGATAAAATTGAAAATGGGCCGTAGAATAAAAAGTAGAAGACAGAGTAAAACTAGATGATTTTGGTGTCTGTGATGGCTGATCTGCTAGACTTCTAAGGACACTTGATGTCTCTAAGGGTTGATCTGTAATAGTTGATTTTTACAGCTTCTAGTCTCTTTGATTCTCCCCAGCTTTAGTAAAAACCTCAGCGTTTGACTTCAAGTAATGATGAAAATGGTGTGAGAGCATTTCAAAAAAGATCAGTATTGAGGGGACTTACAGGTACACAATAGGGAGAGCTTTTTGGCTGTCATCTGTTAGGAAATGTGTATTTTCTTAAAGGAGGGAATGTGTCTGCACCCTGCTGTGCCTGCTTTTTATTTTCTTTTTGATGGTTTAAAAAAAAACACCTCACCAAACCAGCAACCAGACAAAAAACCAAACACCCCAAAGCAAAGATGAGAAACTTGTCCCTTTGTTTTGGACTTGCTCTGCAGCTTTCCAGCTGTTAAGCATGTTGCTGGCCTATTCAGACACTATCTTTACAAGTTCTTAATTGCCAGGGATAATCTTTACTGGAGATTTGAGTCTCTATGAGTATCCTGGGAGTTTGAATCTCTATTTGAGTAATAACTATCTTCTTAAAGAGTGACTGTTCTCCCTATGGTACTACATTATAGCTTCTAGTAGGCTTTGTAGGTTATAAGTAAAGAAAAAAATTATTGTGGAAATGGAACTTGTCACTTTTGCAGGTCAATCCAGTTCAGCTACTGCATTAAGTTACAATCCCAGATGTTTTCACTAAGCTAAGATATGAAAGAAGAGATGCTTAAAAGCAGTCTTTTCAAAAGTTCTTTGAATTTGCCTTTCATGCTTGATAAAAATGCAGCTGAGACTGTGTGCAGGAGAGTGTTTTCAAGACTCCCGTGTCACTGATGTATGTTGGTGTCCAACTGATATTTGCAATTCCGTACACCAGTCCTCAACTTCTTGCATCTATTGACAATCTTTCCTAATTTCTCTGAGTTAAGAGTTTGTGGAAACAGCAGAATATTTCTAATGCTGACAAATATCTCGTGCTCTGTTCAGTGCAAACAGGCCGGAGGCAGCTCTGTGAATTATCTTTCTTCTTATTACTGCCATCGAGGGCCGGAACACCCAAAGTGGTACCAACAGTCAGGACTTGGTCTGTCCAATTTGTCATGGAAAGATTAATGTGCTGCTTGGATGGGTGGAAGGGGATCATGTTTGCTCTGGGATGACAGCCTTCTCCTTCTAAGTCCCTTTACCTGTGCTCTGCCTTCCCTCAGGCTTGGCCATGCAATCATCTTGGAAAGATTTGTGATGGCAGCCCCGCATCCTCTGGGCAGCACATAGGATTACACGTTTGGCCGCTGGCTTAACCCTTTGTGAGAAAGAAGGAGAATCCTGAGCTGCTCTCTCTGGCTTCTCAGGCCCTGCTGAGTGGCCTTGGGGCATAAGTCCAGAGAGGCTTGTCAGTGAAGGCAGGAGGGCATCAGGTAGTTGTTTTCGGCTGTGTGCATCTCCATTCTGGAGGAGACTCAGCCTGCTTTGCCATGACTCAGGGACCCCAATGTACCCCTTCACAATTCTTGCTTCTGTGAGGTTTTACATGAGATTTTCTTTGGCTTGTGTAGCCTCAGCCTCTTGAACTGACTGTTTTCCCTGCACTATTTGTATCTGACCACCCAGTGGGCTGCAGTAAAAGCAGAGCAGGATAAAGAAAAAAAAAACCCAACTCTCAAATGGCACCGTACAGGAGACCTAAACAGTGAGCTGGAATTGTAAACCAGCGTGTGCAGCACGTACACCCGAGGCACCGCGATCCCAGCAGCGCAGCCTGGACTGGGCAGTCCACAGATGTGTCCTGGTCCTTGGAAGCTCCAGGGGTCTGTGTCCTACGGTTCCTGCACCAAGGCAGATGTCTTCAACTCTGCCTTTTGGGAATATCTGAGTAGGGGAAAAAGAGATGTAAAAGCTTCTTACAAAGCTTGGTGTTTCTCTGGCAGCCATACGTTTTTTTCCTACCTTAAGCACACGGTGTGAGTGTGGACAGTTTTCCAGCATGTTATTTAAAGGAAAACAAACAATGCATTTATAGAATACAAATATGGATGAGAGTCTGTATCTCGAGAAATACAAACCCATTTCCTTTTCTGGGAAGGGAAAGGAAGCAAACTTGTTCGTTTTGGTGTGAGTTTAATGTGATTTATGATTAATGCTGATAATACTTCCCCTCTCTTGTCGTGGGAGCTCACTGTAACTGTATGTCTCACTGCCGTTAAGGTACGTGGCTGCTCTTCAGGTTTTTCTTGGAACCAAATAGTAGTGGACTGTTACTCAGACTTCCAAAGCTAGCAGTGGTGTGAACTAATTGCTGAAAATAAGTTTCGTGCACACTGTGCTGCAAATATGGATGTTTCCCATCTTGGGTCACTTTAAGCTGAGACAGATTTGGGTCTGTCACAGAGAGGATGTATCAAAAGATGGAACAAGAGAGATGTGATCTTAGGATTTGAATGCCTATTTGGAGAAAATAAATGAGGTTGAGCCAGACTTTTGAGGGATGGTTTACGAATCTTTTTCATGAAGCCCCTTTCTGGTGCATTTAAACTTCTGCTTCACATAAAGTTGAAGGATTTTTTTTGGCCAACATGGCTACACCATCAGTGGTCGGAGGTGCCAGGCAGACTTCTACTTCCCTCTGTGTTGTTTCCGAGGTGTCATTTTGGTGTTAGCAGGGCAGTGACTGGCCCGTTGATCTTTCTGTGTGTACTGAGGAAGGTGGCCATAGCCCTGTTTCTAACATTAAGGTTGGTTCCCAAGCTGAGGGTGGGTGCTCCCAACATCTTTACCCCGTACTTGAGATTTGCTCTAGGTAGGTCATTGGCAGTATTTTAAGTACGCTGTCAGCAAATCTCTTTCAGCCCATATCATGTTTTCCTGTGTATCTGATATTTTTTAAGCCTGAATGAAATAAAAACAGCTGTATGTCATCTTTTTGAAGAATTTGGGGCTTTTTTTCTGGTGTATTTTCCTGCTCATACTAATGCTGTGGGTAGTGGGGCAGGAAATTTAAGCATTAGGAAAAGGGGAGACGGGGGGGGAAAAAGAAGCCAAACTCTTCTAAACTGCTTTTAAACAGCTCTCCACCCTGAAAGAAAATAGCCTATTTCCTCTTTATTTCCTTAGAGGCTAAAGGAGAGCAGGAAAATACAGTTTTAAACCAGCTTTTTGCATGATGCCTCACAGCTTTAGGGGCCTGTACATTTGACTTTGTCTCTGCCTTTATTGTAATTGTTCTGGTTATTAAGTTGTTGAACTTCTCCCTTAAACTCCCTCTTGGCCAGTGTTGATTATAGCAGATATAAAGTATGTTTTTACCAATCTGTACCAGTATGTTTGAGACTTTGGGTTAACATTTTTTAAAAACTATTGAAGCGATTTAGCAGCCCATCTCTTAAACCTGAGTTTAGAATCTTTCACTTGGCACAGGAGATACCCCATCACTTTCTTTGTTGTGCTGAAAAAAGTAAAAACCTTGGAATTTCTACAACTGATCTGGATCACAATTGCGGGCAGCACTTTATTCTGCTGGATAAAAGAAAATGTGAACTGAAATGAAGGCATTTTCTTGTTTCTGCCTGTTGAGTTCCATCTGTAATCCCTCTTGAGCTAGCATCCTAAAGCCAAATTATAATTTTCTTTAGTAACAACACTTTGCAGAAAACAGAAACAACACATTAAATGTCAACTGAATTATCTCTTTTAATTTGTGTAGATCAGCTGTTCATGTGCTCTGTTAATTCTTGCAGAATGGAAACTGGAGAACTTGAAGAGACTGGATGTCAATCAGGTATCAGACATATGTAATTTCATAGCTCATAGATTTTCCCCTTACATTATTAGGTTTTTGTGATGTAAATTAACTTATAGGATTTGAGTGAATGATCACACTGATATAGCATTTCCCTGGAATATGTTGCTTGGAAGTTAGACTTGCAGGAACCCCACCCTTACTGAACATAATATGAAAATGTTTAAATTGCGTGTTAACACATGTGGCAGCTACATACAATTTCTCCTCCTTAAGGTGCATTATCACACCATTTTTAGTTCATTGGTTATGTGCCTTTGTAGATACAAAGAGTGCAGTACAATATGCCAGGTACCCCTCAAACTCAGTGCCAGTTATCCCAGAGTAACTTGAGTAGGATCTAACATGTTTTCAGAGTGGAATCTGGTTTTGCAAACCTATAGAAGTAACTTGTAATGCTTTCCCTCTACTTTCTACTTTGAAAATGTTCTGGAGCTGAGCTTACACCTACTCAGTATGTCCTATGAAAGTGCCCAGCAAAACACAAAGAAAGCATAATCTAATGACCATGTTTCTCAAGTTCCTGAGCATCCGCTGTAGGCTTTTTTGCTACAAATTAGCCCTGTCATAGAATCATAGAATGGCCTAGGCTGGAAGGGACCTTAGAGATCATCTAGTCCAACCTCCCTGTCATGGGCAGGGACACCTCTCAACTAGATCAGGCTACTCAAGGCTCTGTCCAACTTGTTCTTGAACCCCTCCAGGGAGGGGGCAGCCACAACATCTCTGGGCAATTTATTCCAAAGTCTTGCCACCCTCGTACTGAAGAATTTCTTCCTAAGATCTAATCTAAATCTATCCTTCTTCAACTTAAACCCATTTCCCCTTGTCCTATCAGTGGACACTCTTGTAAAAAGTCTATGTTCAGTTTGTTTTTTCCAGATCTGTCTATTTCAATGTCTCTATTTTGTCACTTTTTCAAGAAGGTCCTGTCATGATCGAGTCAAAACTAATTCTTACTGTTCTGTTAAAGTGTGAGGGTTTTTTTCAACAGTCTATGATTATGGTCCAGTCACTTGGCAATTTATCCTATAAAGGAAGAAAAAAAAAAAAAGGTGGACCATTTAACCCTTGATACTAAGTCAGCCAAATTTTTTCAAATCATGGTAACACACATAGATGTGTGCGCCTGAAGCTTGTTTGCTTCTTGCTTCCTATCTCCCTGTGAAACCAAATATATGAAAAACAGACTCCAAGCCTGCCCAGACAAACTCATGCTAGAAGGCTGAAGTTGGGAATGTTCTGAATCAACTGCTTTCAGCAGAGTCCTGGTACAAAACTAGAGATCAATTTTTTTCCTCTCAAGGTTGACAAGAGTTATGAAAATGTTATTTGGAGACTATATAGAAGAGTCTCAAGTGTCACTGGGTTCTGGATAATGGAGTCCCCAAAGGCAGAGCTTCTGTCCTCTGGTGCATGTGGGGCTGGGTAAAAATAGCAAACTGGGCTTCTCATTACTATTACACAACATGTGTATTGTCCTTTGCAAAAGCTGGCTGGAGTCTGTTTCTGCACAATAGATCTGAGGCTGGAGCAATGCCTGTGGTTTTATTGTAGTTTCCTCAGATTTATCCTGGAGAAAAAAGAAAAAAAAAAAAAGAATTTTGGTGCGTAGTTTTACATCGAAGGAAAAGAAAGACCTAGTAAGAGGCAGTCTTTGTCATCACGAGGAGAGCGTAATGGTAGCTTATTTTATGAAATTCCTAGATTGAAGGGCCTGTCTGACTGGACGCAAAAGTGCAGAATCCTCCTCTGAAAGCTAGAGGGTGAATAATCAGCACTCTGGAAAAACGGGATAAGGAGTGCTGTGCAGAGCAGTATGTTCAGTGTCCTGCTTAAAATTCTCAATATGAAATTATTTCTTTCTGTGGCGTAAATAGTCATAAAAAGTGGTGTGCCTCTCAGTGCAGAGATGGAGGTACTGGATTTCTGTGAATAAACACTGTGGGGGTTTATATTTGCTTTTTAAACTAAATGTAATCTGGAAGGTTTATCAGTAGTGGAGACTCACATTTTGAATCTAATCATGCCATGATGACTACTGGAAACTAAAAAAAATATTGTAAAGGAGAGTTGTGTGTCATAAATTCACAGTATTATACTATTTACTTTTGCAAATGCGGATATGTTAAAATTAAACTGAATTTATTAGCTCTAGAGGCCTGGATTATATTCAAATGGGAATGCTTCTGTTTGCACAGGCTGATATAGCACCGCTGATGGCTTCCCTTATCGGTGTGCCATTCCCCCTGAATTCTGTGGTAAGAAGTATGAATGTTTTTCCGTATTATAGAAGTCTGCTCATCACAGAGGAAAAGGTGTTAGGGACAAGACTTGAGGCATGTGAAGGGAAAGATTATAGATTTGGAAAAGTGCTGTAGGGTATGGAGACTGCTTGTAATTTTAATTTTATGTGCACGTGTGTAATTTAGAGTAGAAATTTAATCCTTTTATATATTGTATAATGCTTTCAATTGGAAAGGCAACGAATCCTTTATAGTCCGCAACTTTATACTCCAGAGCTACATAAAAGTTTTTTTGTTACTTTGGTTTTTTTAGGGATGGTAAAAATGCAATGTGTTTTGAATAACATTTGGTTTTGGTCATGAAAGCTGAGCCTGTAAACAAGCCGGTTTCTGCAATTTAATGTCTAATTATTTCTTGTTTAAACTAGCGTACTTTATTCAGATGGTATCTTGTGCCTCTGATTTAGTGAACAGTGAGTGTCCTCACTATGAGATGGCTTTTTCTTCAGATTTCTTACAAGTATTGTTACAAAGTCCAAAGGTTGTCACATGAATACCTGATTGACCATTAGCATGACATTAACGTGCTTTCATGTGCCCATTTCACATTTTAAAAGCCTATTTACAGCACATTTTTCAAAACACTTCTGGAACCTCTGCCCCAAATTCTATCCTCCATCTGCTCTCATTGCTGGTCATGCGAGGAAAACCACCCAACCTCGGGTGGCACGGGGACTGCTTATTTTCCCGTCACGAGTACCTGGTGAGTTAGACCCCAGCAAGGCCTTGGGTGCAGGACTTCTACGTATTTCAAAAATGGCTTCTGATTAGAGATTGAGGTCTTATTACTGTACTGTATATGGTTTATTAGCAACTTCTCTTATTTACTTTATTTGCATTCCTGTAGGAGCTGGGATATTGTAAACAGTGCCTGTGATGTTGAGAAATTATGCGAGAAGAGTATTTTCAAAGGAGTTGCAGCAGTTATTTTGGCAATAATTTGAAATATTCTCACTGCTCATTTGGCTTGTGATTCAATTAGAGAAATTCCTGTTTCTTCATTTAAAGTTGTTTTACGTATGTATTTATGTATTTTTCTTCCCCAGGGAACTCTGCCTCTGGAATATCTGAACAATAGCGCTCATTTCAAGGCAGAGAGCATGTTTACCAACGCTGTTCAGATTCTTGAGCAATTTAAGGTAACAAATGGCAAAGAAGGGTATTTGGATATTAGTTGTTGCTATGTGTAAAATCATGATAGAGTCATAGAATCTTAGGATGTGTTGGGTTGGAAGGGACATCCAAGGTCATCTAGTCCAACCCCCTGCAATGAGCAGGGACATCCTTAACTAGATCAGGGTGCTCAGAGCCCCATCCAGCCTGACCTTGGATGTCTCCAGGGATGGGGCCTCCACAAGTCTCTCTGGGCAACCTGTTCCAATGTTTTGTCACCCTCACGGTAAAGAACTTCTGAACATCTAATCTAAATCTACCCTGCTGTAGTTTCAAACCATTTTCTCTCATCCTATCACCACACACCCTTTGTAACCAGTCCCTCCCCAGCTTTCCTGTAGCCCCTTCAGGTACTGGAAGGCTGCTGTAAGGTCTTCCCAGAGCCTTCTCTTCTCCAGGCTGAACAACTCCAACTCTCTCAGCCTGTCTTTGCAGGAGAGATGCTCCAGCCCCTTGATCACTTTTGTGGCCAAACTGCAATATACGCTGTGTATCACATGCTGTAATTCAAAGGACTAAAACTGAATACACATACTGGATTATGTTGACTAACTGTGAACTACATCTGAAGGAGTTTGAAAACTTTAAGTAAACACCTTTTTTATAAGGAGAACAAGTAACTCTTTTATTGATTCTTTTGATGTTTAATGATATTAATGTAAACCTACATGCAGTATGTAGGTGGAATCTGAGTTCAGTTACCTGAAAAGAGAAATACTGCCTTTGCAACAGGGCCTGGGAGAAAGGCACTAAAGATCAGTACACAAACAAATCAAAAAGGTAACAGGCACCTGTCCTATAAAGAAATTAAATTAGTGGCCTAATTAACTTTTAGCTAATGGTGTCATATTGTTGTTTTGCTCTGCAAGCGTTCATCTCTGGCTTCTCTGCCTTGATTCATCTAATATCGGATATTATCATATTATGAGAACACATATGTGATTCAGACAAGAAAAGCTTGTGTTTTGTTAGATGCTTTTCAACTATGGAAAAAGAAACAGTCCCAAATCCAAAAATTTAAGTTTTGTCAAGACATATAAATGCTCTGAGGGAAAACCATCCAGGAAGGTGAGAAAGAGAACTGTTGTCCTATCAGGAAATCTGTGACAATGGTGGAACAAGGAACTAGCCTGAGAGTACCTTCAAGGGAGTAGCACCATCAGCACCTTCTGTCCGTTGAATGCCAGGTTCCCAAATGTAGTTTGTATGGATACCAAGTTGGCAGTGTCAGTGGTGGAGTCGCTCTTGGCTCTGAGGTGGTGGAAAGCTGGCAGGTAGCAGGGGAGGTGCATGGTGGGCTGGCTGCAAAGTTGAAGCGTGCGGGTATAAACTCCGCAGTTGGAAGACTCTAAGAATTAAGGACGTGACTCAGGTCTTTTCCTGTTAAATCAGCGTGCCAAGGATTATTTAAAAAAAAAATAATCTGTTCCTTCAATATTATTTTTATTCTGCCATTTTGTAGTATTAAATTGTCTATTTTCTTGTTGACTGGAAGGATCATCGGTGAATTTCCTTTGCGTTTCTCTGCTGAAGCAGAAGTGGTGTGCTGGCTTCAGCATGCCAGATGGGTTTTTACTTTTCCTGTGATGGACTGACCTGACCACAGTTTGTACTCCCTGGAGAGGATGTTGCCTTGGATGGATAGAATGAGACGCTACGTGAAGCTGTCAGGTTTTGGGAGCAGTGTGCTTTGAAATCTCCTGTCTGTGCTTTACACCGGCGGTGAGACTCGAGTCAGGCTGCTGCAGGAGGCTTTAAAGATGTTTTGAAGGGCCTTGGACAGAGTGGCTCTAACAGCATCAAATCCTTCTATTTTTATCCATGTGCAGGTTAATTGATCTAAGACCATTGCTTCAGCAGCGCTGCTGAAGTTCCCGTCTGGCATAAATAATAGTGGTTTCATCGAGGGACGTTGTCGCTGAAGTTTGGTAGCTCTTCTAGCCATATGTTCCCTTTATTCTGCAAACAGCAGAAACCAAAGTCCTTCTGTGAAAATCATTGGCTGGGGAGTGGTTTCTTTTACCTAACTTTGATCAGATCTAGGTTTCCAGGAACTCAAGAGTTACATGTATCCTGGACAATATATTGACAGTGTGATTTCATTTCTCTTCCAAAGTCTTAGAGCGCTTCTGTGATTTTTTTTTTTTTTTAGTTTAATTCCTGATAGGATTTTTAGTCTTGTTGAGACTTGCATATAATGGTTTCCTGCTTTTTTATGCAGGTTAAGATGAGTCAGAAAAAGGAAACTACACTGTCGTTTCTGTTCACACCATTCAAGTAAGTGTCTGTAAAAACTATATATATTTTACCTGATTGCTTATCTTATCACTTTGCTACTTAAATGAGATGCAACAACAGAAATTTGGTCTCTTCCGTCTTTTTTTAAACAATAGCGTTTATCTGACTGAAACCTTTGCACTAGAACTCTATGCAATTGACTTCTGTTTAAAAATTCTGGGTAGAAGAAGATTTTTTTAAAAACATATATTCCTTACATTTAGTTTTTGACAAATAGTTTTATATAGACCATGTGGTGATTTCTCTTTTTCTTTTTTTTTTTTTGCTATGTTCTTTTAGCATTCCTTGGGAAGAATACAATCTGTTCTTGTTTATATGTGTATAAAAATAGAACTAAGAATTGTTTGTTCTGTAATTTAAATTCTAATGAAAAACAAACCAAATACCTTGCATCCAGAAACGAAGCTTAAAGTCTTTAGACGCTCAAAATCTTTAAAATTTGTGCTGCCTAGTGTTAGTGTTTCCAGGGCTGTGAAGGAGTCTCTGTAGTAATTTCTGTATCTGCAAGCTCTGTGTTTTAGTGTATGGAGCAATTACTGACCTGCTCACTCTTCAATCTTATCCAATTAAAGCTGTTTTTTCCTTTTTATTCCCCCCTGAAACGTTTTTTAAAGCTTTGCTCTGGGTGCATGTGATACTGTTCAGTTCAGCTTTCAGTTAGTGGAGCTCTGAAAACATTTTGTCACCAAGAGCAGCTGTTTTCCTTTGGGAAATAAAACTGGGGTTAATTAAGATCTTTAAATCATAGGAATGGTAAAAAGTACTTGAATCTCTTCCTGTGAAGTATGTTTAATCACTAAATAAGATTGCTATCTTCCTGAACAGACACTTACTGGTGTGTTTTATACCACTAGCTTCTTCAAAGGGAAAGGTTCAAGTCCCTGAGACATGAACCAAGTAAATCTCGGCTACATAATGACTGTTTCAGATCAAATTCTTATTAAGAATGACAGGTGCATTATCACAGAATTTACTGATCTGTATGGAACAAACATGCCATATGGAAAGGATGATCAGTTATCTTTGATTCTGTGGGGAAGCCTATTAGTTTGATTTCACAGCTCTTGTTTAAATTTTACCTTTCCTCAAGAAATAAGACTGATCCTGTAAAGTAGGATGTCTTAATGCTGAATTTATCTTTAAAGAAGCCAAGTGGGTTTGATTGTCTTATGGGCTGGTATCTTTTTTTTTTAATAAGTTGTATTGTTTTAAGTGGAAATGCTTGAGACATTTATCACTTTCAAAATAAGACTACCTGATATTAACATGCAGTTACTTTGGTATGGTCTGTTGTGAAAATGTATTTATTTTACTTTCTTTAGGTATTCTTAAAACTGTTCTGAATCAGAATTTGGGTTAGTGTTCCTTCCAGGAAAGGCTTTATTATGAGATCAAAATCATTCCTTGGATGTGTGAATTACCTTACAAGAGGTGCCTGTGCCTGCATGTTGTATGAGTAAAGACTTTCTTTGGTTCCCCAAGATGAAATTGTTTATCTTCACTCTAGGAAAACAGAAAAGGATTCGTACCACAGGTGCTCACACCTTAGTGCAAATACTCATCCACAGTGTCCTGGGGAGGTGGGGGTGGAGGGGTGAGTGGAATTTGGCCAGATTCTAAATAGTCTTCACAACTCCCCTTGACTTTGAAAGCTTGGTGTGTGTCTGGGAAGCTACCAAGGAATCTTGTCCAACCAGTTACTGGCAGTTGTGCTGAAGTGGTTGAACACTGACTTACTTTTAAGCAGATGAGTAACTTCCTAATGCTCCAACCTCACAGAATCACAGAATGTTAGGAGTAGGAAGAGACCCTGAAAGATATCTAGTCCAACCCCTCTGCTTGCAGGAACTGGGGGAAAACACAAGATAGTTTTAGATATGACCTGTCTGCAGATCTATTTCCTCCGTCACATGAAGGTATTATCACCTCTTTCCCGTGGTGTGTGAGCGGTGAACATGCCCCTGAGCTTCAGCTGCAGGTCATGATCTGACGCATTAGTGCAAGGCAAACCTCATCAGTTCTTCAAATTTTGCTTGAATCTGTGAGATACTGAGGGAAAGGCATGTACCCCCTTCTGCTGACTGTACTGTGACACTGCATTTTTTGGTAGTAGATCAAAGGATATAGATGGATATACATGCTCTGCCTTTTTTTAGGAGAATTTGAAAAGGCAAAGTTGGGGATAGCTTGCTTCTGTGTCTGGAGCATGAGGTCTCCTGCTATACTGCACTACATTTCAGAGTAATTGGTAATATGGAGATTGCATTTCTGCACAGCTGTACATTATTTGGGCTTGTCAGCCCAGGTTTAATGGCAGGTTTGCCCACTAATTTGTGTTGATCTGTGGTTGGCCTGGTCTGCTGCTGCTGCAGCTGAGTACAGTTCTGTGTTGTGTTTCTGCTAGGCACTACTGTCTTTTCATTTGGACATGAATAACTTCTGCCACCACTGTTCTTTGATTTCAGTTGTTATTCAGGCACCCTTCTCATGCCTGAAATCTGTAACCTGAAGCTCAGAAAATATGTACTCCAGCATAATGCTTTATTCCTTCGTAGTTTGTTGGAGGTTCGTGAAGTATAATCTGTTGCTGAAGTGCTTTTTGGACCATCAAGTTATGTTGAAATTGAAAATTAAAAATTTTGGTTTGGAATATTATAGATTTTATGTATATTTCAGCATACTGATAACCTGAAAATAAACAAAGATATCTCTAAGAGCTGCTTTTCTTAAATTATTCAAATTATATTATGTAATTGAATAGAATCTGTATAACAGAAATGTAGATATGAGTTCCAGAGGAAATCTGAATGTAAAATTTCATATTGATGCATTTTAAATATGCAGTGTAGAGCTATTGAAGATTCATTTATCTGAGGGGGAGAACATGTTCACAAATGATGTATTCCATAGAAACTACAACTTAACAAAACCCTCAATTTTTTCAGCCAGAAACAGCATTGAAAAGTTTATTTTAATAATCTGATGGAGAAATCTTGTTTCTGAGCTTGATTTCAGGTGTTATGTTACCAAGTGTCTAGAGATCTGACCTTCAGGTGCAATTAGTTAAATCTATGTTGAATATATTTCACCAAAAGCATTAAGTTAGTTCATATACATATTACAAGCCTGGTTTTACTCCTTTCTTAAACAATGTTAGCAACAGGGAAGGTGTCTTGAATTGAAATTGATGTGCTAGAGAGCAGCCCTGCAGAAAAGGACTTTACAGTACTGGTGGATGAAAGGCTGAACATGAGCCACCAATGTGCACTCACAGCCCAAAAGGCCAGTTGCATCGTGGGCTGCATCAGAAGAAGCACGGCCAGCAGGTCAGGAGAGGTGATTCTGCCCCTCTGCTCTGCTCTGGTGAGACCTCACCTGCAGTACTGCGTCCCGCTCTGGAGTCCCCAACACAAGAAGGACACAGACCTGTTGGAGTGGGTCCAGAGGAGGCCACAAAAATGATCAAAGGGCTGGAGCACCTCTGCTCTGTGGACAGGCTGAGAGAGTTGGGATTTTTCAGCCTGGAGAAGGCTCTGGGGAGACCTTACAGCAGCCTTCCAGTACCTGAAGGGGCTACAGGAAAGCTGGGGAGGGACCGGTACAAGGGTGTGTGGTGATAGGACAAGGGGCATTGGTTTGAAACTACAGCAGGGTAGATTTAGATTAGATATCAGGAAGAAGTTCTTTACTTATGAAGGTGATGAAACACTGGCCCAGGTTGCCCAGAGAGGTGGTGGAGGCCCCATCGCTGGAGACATTCAAGGTCAGGCTGGATTGGGCTTGAGCACCCTGATCTGGTTAAGGATGTCCCTGCTCACCTTGCATGTCCCTTCCAACCCAACACATTCTATAAATCTATTCTATGAATCTATGATTCCATGAAATGGATATAAGGCTTCAGATTTTCACCAGGAATCTCATCCCTAGTAGAAGCATGACTGTCACAACGCACAGGGTCTGAAGGAGGCCGTTAGACATGTGCCCTTTCCTACTTGGTTCCTAAACTGCATCTCGGCCTCAAATCCGTCTGTAAGGTTTATAATGAAGGCGAGGAGGATGGTGGAGCTGGTTGTTGTGTTGTGTCATAGAAGCTTGAATAGTGTCTACTTGACCAGGCCTGAGGCAGGTTAGAATTTGGATAGCTGCGTCTATTAATAAGGATGCATCTGACCGCCAGCCATACTGTTTTCATTTTGTCAAAGTGCCGTCATCAAGGAACAAATCTGTGTAAAAGCGTATATTGAGGCTACCCGTGGAACTGTTTAGAATACGTTTCAGGATGAAGTTCAGCTGCCAGTGTCTCCTGATTCTGCAAGACAAGATGCACAGCCTGCTTTGAAGGGAATGAACACGCAAGGGCAGACCAGTGTCCCTTCCTGATGTTGAATGCTTCTTTAAAAGCATGGGTACATGAAGGGATTTACTATCCGAAATGTCTTTCCTTTCCAATTCTTTCTGCTCCCTACCTTTTTTTTTTTTCTGAGCTTTTCTCAGCAGGGTTCTGGGACATAAACACAATCCTTTGACCTTCATATGTGAAAAAAAGCAGGTAGCAAGGTACCAGATGCTATGAAGGCAGAGTGAGGGAGGACAAATCTGAGGAATGCTGACAGACGAAAACTGATGTCCAGGGAAGTGGTCTGTCTTAGTAGCTTTCTGACCATTTGATGTGTGTTAAGGCAACTTTAGAGTGGGCACAATTCGAAGAGGAGTATGCCAAGGGGCCAGATGCTACTGTTGCAAGAGTATTCCCAAGAGCTGGTATCTCTGGGCTCTGAAAGTAATCCTACAAGGAGTAGCAGAAGGACTATTGTAGTGAGGTGAATAGATGGCACATCAGTTGTTGCATGAAAACCCTCTTAAGCAATTAATGTAATTTGATTATCCCAACAGGTACTAGAGATATTAAATTACACAGAAGCACAGGGGTGCTTTTGTGTGTGCCTGATATATACAGTGCTTTCAGGGAAGACCGTGTT